TCGCGTGAAGACCGCCTTTTATTGCGTTGTCTTTTTCGTGCGTTTACGTGACAACGAGGCTTTTCTTGAGTTTTGAGTTATTAACTTAACTTCGATTGCCATTAATTTGCGTCGACGAGTTGCTTGTGTGGCATTTTAATATCGTACGAAGACATTTTTCCTTTGTCGGTTAGAACGCTAAAAATTTGTGACCCGAGAGGAGATCGCGTTCGTCTTCGATTATAATTTTGTGTTAAGCGATGTTAGACTTAAGTTCACATAAAGGTGAACGCCCACTGGAGTGACCGCACATTTTGGAGCAGAGCAGCGCATGTGGGTCTGCTGCCCGATTACACCAGTGACGTCAGGTTACATTTACACACTTTCTCACACCACTTACACCCACCTACATACCCCTGACGGTATCTTGTGGTCGACCCTACCTCCAGAAATCGGTAAGTTTGTGTTTGTTTATCCAGCCATTACATAATAATTGTCCATAGGCCATTTGGGCCCAAACCCTTTGGTTGCCCGTCGAGTGGGCTACTCATGGGCCCTAGTCCAGTCGACTTCTGTCGGGGCAACTGAGGGGGTTGAAAATAGGAACCATAGTGGTTATGAAAAAATTAATGAATAACGTCGTCGAGGCCAAGATTATCAAGGGATGATTAAAGGAAATGATGTCTTGATACCGCGTATACCGATGATTCTAAGGAATTTGCCATTCTATTTTAAGCGTCTACAATATCCCGTGCGTCTGGCTTTTGTGATGACCATAAATAAATCGCAAGGCCAGTCGTTGAAAATTTGCGGAATCAACTCGGAGTCTCCATGTTTCGCGCATGGGTAATTAATTATACGTCGCGTGTTCGAGAGTCGGAAAACCATCATCTTTACATTTTTACGCACCGTAAATAAAGAAAAAAATAGTATATCAGAAAGCTTTAAATTTATTAATAGAATCAGGCGTTAACATAAAAAAAACATAAAAACTCACGCCTGTCACCCAGAGGGGTAGGCAGAGACTACGGACTACCATTTGGCGCGATCCTGAAATACCTCTCTCGCCTCCTTTATATCCATATATCTACGCATACACGCTCGTCAGTTAAGGGTACTTCTAATCTGGCCCATTTTCAATGTATCGCCGATTTGGTTGATAAATCTTCGTGTACGGCATCCCTTTTCGACTCTGCTATTCACTTCTGAAACATATATTTGCTTTGTCACTTTTTCCTCGTTCATTCTTTCTACATGACCAAACCACCGAAGCATTCCTTTTTTAATCCTAGTCACAAGGTCATCTTGCAAACCACACTTTTCTCTTGTCACACTATTTCTCTCCCTGCCATTCAGATTCAGGCCTAGCATACTCCTTAGTGACCGCATTTCTACAGCATTTATTCTACTCTCATGCTTCTTCTGCCAGACCGAACTTTCACTACCATATATTAAAGTGAGGACTAACACAGCATTATGAATTGCCATACGAGCCTTCTTTGACACATTCTGACTCTTCATAATAGCGTGTAGGGCCCCATTCACTCTATTTCCTGTGTTCACTCGTTGTTCTATATCCTTATCATATCTACCATCCCTGCTAAATAAACATCCCAAATATACAAACTCATCCACTTGCTCAATCAACTCCCCTTCTATTCTTAGTTCACATAAAGTTTTACTTTCTTTTCTTTCAAAAACCATCACTTTCGTCTTATTTGCGTTCACTTTCATACCTCTTTCTTTTAATGACCAGTTCATTAAATTAACCATTATTTGCAACTCGGCCGCCGACGATGCAAATATGACTTGATCATCGGCGTACAAAAAGCATTTGACGGTTACCTCACCCATTCTCTACCCACATTCTTCAACTTTCAAAGTTTGCAAACAACTGTCCATAAATAGGTTAAATAGCCACTGGGAAGCTACACAGCCCTGTCTGACACCTTTTTGAATGCCCTGTCTGACACCTTTTTGAATGCTAAACCAGTCCGAGTAGACCCCGTTGATCCTGACACAAGCACTAGAGTCCCTATAAAGAGACTTTAATGCTTGTATCAGACCAGCGCTCAACCCAAATGAAGTCAGTGTTTGCCATACACGATCCTGTTCACTCTATCATAAGCCTTTTCCAAGTCCATGAACGCACAAAAAACTTTCTGGTTCTTGGCCAAAAATTTCTCCGCAATCATGCGCACGGACAAAACCTGATCCGTACATCCCATTCCCTTTCTAAATCCAGCTTAAACATCCCAAATTTTTCCATCAGTTTCTTCCATAACTCTTTCAATTAACACCTTAGCATACAGTTTACTCACAATGCTAAGCAAACTGATACCAAGGTAGTTTTAACAGTCCTGCTGTGACCCCTTTCCCTTATATATTGGGACTATAACGGCTTTGCACCAGTCTTCCAGTACCCGCTTCAGTTGCTAACACAAATTATAATAATAATAATAATATTCCACAACTATCAAACAACGCCATCTAGTCCCAAGCTAAGCAGAGCTTGTGTTATGGGTACTAGACAACTGATAAACATATTTATATATATATATATATATCTAAATACATAAATATTATAGATAAATTACACCCAGACACAGAACAAATGATCGTGCTCATCACACAAACATTTGTCCTGGGTGGGAATCGAACCCACGACCTCCGGCGTAGCAGTCAGGGTCACTAACCACTAGACCAACAGGCCAGACAATTAAACAAGGTATACAGCAGGCCTGCAACCACACCCCCTCCAGCCCTTAGCATTTCGAGTGATACTCTATCATATCCGGCTGCCTTACCTGCTTTCATGCTTTTCATTGCTTTCATTATTTCATCTACACTTATCTCCCTACCTCTCTCCATTTCTCTCAGAGTTTCGATTTTACTTAATTCAAACGACTCTTCACTCTTAAACACGCTTTCAAAGTAATTCTTCCATCTCTTTTAATTCGAAACTTCATCATTCAGCATGCAACCTATCTCGTCTCGTATAGCATTCATCCTAGGCTGTTTTGAATTTCATCTAGCAGTTCTTACGAACTTCCAGAACATTTTGATATTTGCCTGGAAGTTATCAGATATTCTTCTATCATTCTTATCTATCCTTTTTTGCTTTTTTCTTTCAACAACTTCTTTTACTCTCTTATTTATTCGTTTAAAGTCTGCCTTTTTTCTTTCAATCTCATCATTAATACCGCCAGAATTACCAGATTTGGTTGCTAGTAAATCTAGCAACCAAATCTGGTAAATGGAAGTTGAAGTAGTTGAAGTATCTGGTAATGGAAGTAGAAGTACGGATGGAAGTTGAAGAAATCTCCCTTCTTTGCTTCAACTTCCATCCGTACTCATCATCCCACCACAACGTATTACTTTTCCTTTCATTTGTTTCCTTACTTACACCACATACTTCAGTGGCTGCATCCACCAAAACTTTCTTAACATTATTCCATACATTCTTTAAGTCGAAATCATTCATACCTAATTCATTCAACACACTTCTATTTACCCTCAGTCTGCATTTATATTTCTCTTTCACACCTTCATCTTGTAACCTCTCTATTCTTATACGCTGTACCGCAGTGGTAGACACAGATGTCCGATGCCGCCAACGCCTGAATAGACCATTAATTCGGCACAAGACCAAGTAATGATCTGTCACTACGTTGGACCCACAGTAAACCCTTGTATCTATTACGGCGCTCCTCATTCTTTCATCCACAATTATGAAATCTATCATGCTTCTGTCATCCCCTTTCTCATGTATACATGCCACAAAAATATTATTTTCCACACATACGGTGAGAAAGTCTTCACCATTCTTATTTATTCTTTCATCGCCAAACGTTCCTAACATCCTTTCATAAACAGACCTCTTCACCCCAATTCCTTCGGGTGTTCCAAAATCTTCCATTAAAATCTCATAACATAATAATATTTTCATTTTACTTATATTTCATCAACAGCTGCCTTACCATGTCCCAAAACTGCTCTCGGATATAAGTAGGCTTAGACATATCTGGGGCGTACACCCCAAGTACGAACAACTTCTTTAAGCCCACTTTCATTCGTATCCACAGCAGCCTTGACCCATTCTTTCTGAAAGGATGACACCGTCTCCCTGGCATGCCCGCTCGGTCTCGTCTACACCAGACCAGTAAGCGGTATACATGCCATGTGCAGTAATATCTCTTCTCTTTCGTTTCCTCTCATTCACACATAACACATCTATTCCTCTATCATTCATCATTTTGCATACTTCATCCATCTTATCATTCATTGCTCCACGTACATTCAGCGTAGCCAGACGGGCCTCCGCAATCCACTTTTCGCCCCTTCGGAAGACAGGACGTGACGGGTGGCGAACCTCGTCGCCGGTTTTTCTCAGGCGTTACTTTGTGGAAATCCATTATATTAAAGTTGTTAAAAATTACCTCGCGTACATCCGCTCGATAAAAGCTCTTCAAACTAGGTAAGACACATTATTTTATCGAGCGGATGTACACGAGGTAATTTTTCACCAACTTCAATCTTTAAATTGATTAAGTGTATAACTGTGTTGCATTTAATGTAAATAAAAATTTGTATTAAGTTTTGACCATACTTTTTACAGATATATGTAAGTAAAACGAAGCTCACCGGGTCATCTTATTAAAAATATAATAGAAATTACAGTCATAAGCTGAAAGTATCTGGGACTAACATTGCGTCGTTGATTACTTTAATCCCACTATTTAATCCTGCTAACTATTCATGAACACGGATACTGCGAATCACTCTAAACGCCAGGAACATAAAACAAAAAGAAAAAAACAAAATAATACGAGTGCTAGTTTCGTTTAAGGATTTTCACCAAACAGTATCCTAAAATCATATTAGACTTGTCAAGCAGGTTATGCGATGATACAAATCTCAGCGAACTTATAAATACTTTGGCTTTTAGAACACTATAAACAGCACAGATTCAAGGTCTGAAGTAGTCGTTTTATACTTCCTGTGCCTTATCAATTAAGACAATGCGGGATAAAAGTATAATTGTGACTACATTGTTAGTAGTTTTCTGCACATCAGTTATAGAATCAGGTAAAAATAATATTTGTTAATAAACTAAACGAAATTTTTCTTCTTAAATTATTTCTCGTGTCAACCATCGATTTTGTGTAGGTGAAATTATTTATTTTATTATTTTTATTAAAACGTTTTTACACATAAATTTTGGAATGTCATATATTTTGAAAACGGTTAATATGTATTACATTTATATAAAATGTTAGATGCCTAAAAAATTCTGCTGTTTGTAAAAAAAATACAAAGATTTAGCTTTATTGTGATATAGTTTAGTTTTAATATAACTCATAGAAATCAACATCAAAATTCTTTTATTTTTTTAGCATTTACATAGTGCTTTCATTTTGTAAGCATTATTAAGAAGTTGAGGTACTCGCGTTAGGAATCCTTTTCTATCTACTACTCGGGATAATTTTTTACGAAAGGATTGCCTATTTTTTGCGTTACATGGCAGTACACTTTTACTTTTCTTTGAACCGATTTCGGTTAGTAGTAGACGATTCCATCAAGTGCTCTTGGAACTTACTTCAAAGAAGGCGATATAGAAGGTTGGTCAAATCGTACCAGACGACGAAACGATGGTGTCACTATATGCCATATTTATGAAAAATATTCTTATTTTTTAAGGTCTTAAAAAACACTAAAAGTACTTCTCTAAGTAATTACAAAAGAGTTATCCTTTTATTTTTGTTTTTGTAACTGTTCCGAAATTATTTAAAATAACATTTTCAGAACGCACTGGAACGCACCTAATGACGATTAATTTCGCGTATGAAAGGCCTTTTTTTATAGAATAAGGGTAACAAACGAGCACACATTCCACCTGAGCTGTGTTGAAGTGGTTGCTGTGGCCCATAGACTTCTACATCTATCTTCGTTTGCAAATTAAAATGCAGATGCGTTGTCAGCCGTGAGGACTAAAATAGAATGCCTCTTTTCCAGTAAAATGGGTCTCCGGTTCTCTACACTCACCATACGAAACACAGCAGCATTAAGCTGCTATTTTACGCTGGTATTCTGTGAGAGCGTGGTCTTTCCCCGGTCAGGCCGATCCATTCGTGCTACATCTATACTATTAATATAGCTGCAACATGGCTCTACCACGTAAAATCTCTTTTAATGATGCTTTACCTACCCTGGGTTATGACATTCTTTTTTTTGATACCGACGGACTTAAGTTCCTAATTAATTCACTATTAACTGCGCGGAAGATATTAAAAGTTGAAGGTTCCGTGACGCAGTGGCTTTGAAATGAGTTGCAGTGCTGAAGACCAGTGGATGTTTGTCCTTTTGAAATTCATGATTGTAAACTGCCAAAATACAGAATAAATTCTTAGTGTGCTGGCAATTTAAAAAAATTTGGTGAAAAGTCTATGCGCTAACATTTCAACCATTCAATCTTCTTAATTATTTACTCATGCTCGATGTAGCGGTTGTGAAGTTAATTTAAATGTTGTGTCAGAGATATGACGAAAATTGTAATATATCTAAGCCCAAAAACTAATATCCGTTTGTTGCAGCTGAGATTCGAACCAAGAACCTGCGATTTAGTAGATAACTACCCAGGCCCAGGCCAGCCGTCATGACGGAAAATATTATGCAATTATTATTGGAGCAATTTTACTTTGATTAGAGAGACGATATTGTACCCAGAATTACAATTTTATTTTTATTAAATAAACTGGTATCAGTATGATGTTGCTGTCCATCCCTCTTTTAGTTTCCCTCTACCGTCACTCTACTGCCTACACAAAAACGTTAGATAGACGGATCCCAAAAACCTACCTACTAATAAAACTCATTTTCATATAGATATTATATAAATTAGATGTACAGACTATTCCGAAACTCAACGTCGGGCGGGTAGGAGCTAATAGGTCAGTCAGGTTATACCAGTTTTAATAAAAAAAAATCTTTTTATTTGGTTCACTGATAATAGGAATATTTTTGGAATGTTTAAAATATTAACATATTTAGATACTGTGGTCACAAATTTCTCAAGTTCGAAGGTTGTTTTTTAACCAAATCCTAAATAACTATATCATGATTGCAGCCACAGCACAAATATTTCTTTTATTTTTTTATTTTTTTAAAAACTTTACCCCAACACTTGGATTTTCTCCTGTATCGTGGAGGCAGTTTACAAACATAAATTGCACAAGGACAAACATCCAGACCCGGAACAATTATTTGTAGGCCATACAAATACTTGTTCCGTGCGGGATTCTAACCCGCGGCCCCCAGCGCAACAACTGATTGCCAAGTCACTGCGCCACGGAGCCGTCAATATTAAAATATATCTTGACAATTACGTGAGTACTAAAAGAGGTGATTCAGAGAAAAGAGGTGACTAGTTTTACGCACTTATGAGATGGAGGATGACGAAAAGGTTTTTCAACTTAACTATGAATTTTACAGTGCCGTTCATCAAGAAGTGTAAGTCTGATGACGCAAAATGTATGAAAGAGTCCGCGCAAGCAGCTATTCCGGTCTTTGCCACCGGCCTGCCGGAATATGGTGTCAAATCATTAGATCCTGTTACATTCAAGAAGATTGATGCCAGCTCGAGCGGCTTAAAGCTTGTATTGACCGATGTTACGGTAAAAGGCCTTAAAAACTGTATAGCAAAGAAAATCAAGTAAGTACTACTATTTATTATATTTCGTTATTTGTTTCGAAATAATAATCAATTGAATCAGTAAATAATATATATAGTTATATGATATAATGAAATAGTAAATATTTGAAAATAGCTGCGGATTAATTAGCACACAAACATAATAGCAAAAAATCTTAATGTAGTCACTACCACTAAAAGGACCACAATAACAGGAAACAATAATAACATTAACAAAATTATAAAAAATTTCAGAAAATTGTCATAAATTAGCTTTTGTTTCGGATTTTTACACTTTGATATTTTATATAGTTAGCTTTATATGTATTAATTGCATTCTTTTTTCATCTTATGTGTTCTTTATGTATTATTTCATCATATATTTATTTATTTCAATTTATTGAAAAATGCCTAACTTGTTGTTAGAGGTTGCCAATCAGAAATTTTTCTCTCCCATAACTTGTTGTTATTTGATCTAAACAGCTAACTGTTTACCAATTCAACTGAATTAACCGCGCCACGTCGATTACTCTGGTTATACTGCCGATATGTTCGTAAAAAATGCAGTCACACGTAAAACTCCAAGCGTAACTCTCACAGCTTGCTCATTGACTTTGAGTTATATCATACAGCCAGCATTTATAGATCACATCACTTTTTTATATTATTTCTACACTAGAAAAAGAAACAGAAAATGTTTACAAAGTTTGCTTTCTTAATACTCACATTAATTATATAGGCCCGTAAAACTCCAAATGTGGTCACGAGTCTCTCCTTTTGGAACGAGTTACATTAATTGCCAATATTTTACTTCTGGCTAAAACAAGATAGCTGTAGTCCAACTCATAAGAAGCCTTGATGTCTTTCAGGAGGAAAGTTAGGAAGTTACCACTGCCCATCTTTTGCTTCATTTCCCTCTGTCGTTCTTTAACGACACCCACGTGATTATATAGGGTAATGGATTATTTTAATATTAATTGGACATTACTGATAATACTAATATTAATTATTAGCTCAGTTTCAGTCAGCCATGAAAACATCGAAAACAACTAAATCTGACCAAGTAGTTTGTAGTTTCTTATTGTTTATTAAATACAAAAAATAATTTAAATCATGTAGCTTCATCTACTTTTCCTTCATTTTTATTTGATTTTACGATTTTAACGGACAAATTGCAGTAAAACTTAAGCTAACACATATCTTAGAAAAGGGGCAACATAAACCTACGCACAAAAGTAAAACTAAATTTAGCCGGCTACCCTTAAGCATATTATGAATGACACTTACAATAGCCGTAAGAGATTTATTTTAGGTAATGCTATAAGTTGAAACTACACTGATATATGACTTCCGTCCCAATGTTTCCCGTAAAAGCCTCAAGACCACGTGTACATTACAAGATATTAAATTCTGAAAGTCATGGTTGGATATAATATTTAAGAGTCAATACTTATTAAATTAGTTGTAAATTTCATACTTTTAAATATTGCAGACGAGATAAGCCTAAATCCAAACTTTTCATCAAATTGTTGTGCTCTGCCGATTTGGATGGTCAATATGATATGAAAGGACACCTTCTCTTTCTTCCAATTGAAGGCAATGGTCCGGTCCACGTTAAGCTAAGTACGTAAATGCTATGTTTTTAGTTTATAATCACAACAAAAAAAAAACAATTAAAGTAAGTTCTATGTAAATTAAAGTAACACTTATTCCAAGTACAGTTGTTATTATCAGATTTCATTCAATTTATGAAATATTGAAAATATTTAACTAATTGAACTCAAATTTATAAATCATTTCAAAAGTATAATTTTGTAATTCAGTTAGATTTTTCACAAGTCAATGTAATCTTTAATTTTATGTTTCAGGAGAAGCTGAAATCGACGTTGAATTAGATTTAGAAGATCATAATAACAAGTGGAACATCAAGCACTGGCAACATTCTTTTAATTTGAATGGCGCCTCAGAAATAGTTTTCGAAAATCTGTTTAGCGGCAACAAAGATTTGGGTTCGTATTTAATAATTATAGTTTAATGCAATTCCCTTGGTGTTGCAGTTGTTCATGAGCGGCGGTAGTCACTTACCATCAGGTGATTTCGTTTGCTCGTTATTAAAAAATGTTTGATTCTATTGGTATAGCCACTTTGCAGTCATATTGTGGTTGCAGCACGAATGGGTCGGCTAGATCGCGTTAGGATCACGTTTGCACAGAATGCCAACGTAAAATAGCAGCTTAATGCTGATGTGTTTCGTATGGTTTGAGTAGAGAACTAGAGTTCATTTTTTACGGGAAATGATGCATTATATCTTAGTGCTCAAAAGTGACTACGCATCTACATTTGGATTACTAATCTAATTTGATTAAAAATCAAACTAACGTCTATGGGTCACCACATCATCTTACAATCAGGTGAACTGTGCACGTTTGTCACCCTTATTCTATATAAGATAATATTCTCTATTGTGGATTTTAAAGTTTTTATTTTAGTGTTACTTGTCGAGGTGAACTTGACGAACTATGCGTGACAAATGAGCACAGAGCAACACGTTACCTTGAATAACAACAACTTACTTTGAATAAGAATGTAAATGTCAATAAAAAAAGAAATTTCCCCTAATGACTAAGATGTAATTCACCACTAAACCATAAGCCACAGCAGTAACATGATCATTTCACGGTCATGGTCATAATCATGGTCATCGTCACAGTCATCGCTATCGTCATCGTCATCACCATCGTCATGGTCATCGTCATCGTCATCGTAATCGGAATCGTCATCTTCATCTTCATCTTCATTGTCAATACGAAAGAAATTTCCCCTAATGACTAAGATGGAATTTACCACTAAACCATAAGCCACAGCAGTTACATGATCATTTCACGGTCATGGTCATAATCATGGTCATCGTCACAGTCATCGCTATCGTCATCGTCATCACCATCGTCATGGTCATCGTCATCGTCATCGTAATCGGAATCGTCATCTTCATCTTCATCTTCGTTGTCAATACGAAAGAAATTTCCCCTAATGACTAAGATGGAATTTACCACTAAACCATAAGCCACAGCAGTTACATGATCATTTCACGGTCATGGTCATGATCATGGTCATAGTCACAGTCATCGCTATCGTCATCTTCATCGTCATCACCATCGTCATAGTCATCGTCATCGTCATCGTAATCGGAATCGTCATCTTCATCTTCATCTTCATTGTCATGGCCATCTATCTTCATAAATCTATGTCTTTATATTGAATTATATATAGGATAGTGGTCCGATGCTCCGGGTTTAATTAAAATATAGTTTTACAGATTTCATTTTACCATACAAAACATAACAGGATTATACTGCTTTTTCACGCTGAGATACTAGCGACTGGGGCCCTTTCCCGGTTTAGGTGACCTGTAAGGCTGACCAAAGGTGCTGTAGATATTATACGCTGCACCGTAGCTCTACCACGCTAAAACCACTTCGTCTATAATCATTATTTTATTATTATGTTGTATTAGAAAATAAGTCCACTAGTTTGCATTTGCATTAACATTTTTTTCTTTTGTTATAAAATAAGGGTGACAAACGAGCACACAGTCCACCTGATAGTAAGTGCTTGCCGTGGTCCATAGACATCTACATCTATCCTCGATTACAAATCAAAATGCATATTCTTTTTCAATCGTGAGAACTAAGAAGGAAAGCCTTGTTTCCAGTAAAAAAGGTCTTCTGTTCTCTACACTCACCACAGCACATATGAAACACAGCGGCGTTTAGCTGCTATTTTACGCTGCTATACTGAGAGGTTTTTCAATATTTATTAATAAAAACAAAAATTACAAAAATATAAAATGGGTCATTTTATATTTTTATATTTTTGGCAGTTATTATAGGTCCGGTATAACAAACTCATTTGTTCGTTAGTGAACTACTTTCGTTACGTGTGCCTCAAATAGACCAATATAAATATGTGACACTTAATGGCATTATGAACACCTGATTAAGTTCTATAAATAAATTTCTTTGTATAGCATTTTCTTTTTTAACATAAAAATCGAACTTGCAATTCGCATATGAAAGTACTCGTAGTACAATTAGTTAAAAATGGGAAGGTCATCTCTCTGAAGGACATGGATCTCTTTTTATTTTATTTTGATATTGATTTGAAAAGGGTGAGAAATGTCTTTTATATCAAGCTTGTTTCAAAAAATCTAACATAAAACTCTTTCAGTACGTTCAATTTATTTAGTAACTAGTTGCACACCTTGTAGTATTCTTAATTAACTAAAACACAAAATTAATACGATCTATAACGTTTTTTTTTGTAGCTAGCGCAGCTCAAGAAGTAATAGCCAAGAGTGGAAACGAAATAGTTTATGAAGAGGGTCCTCCAGTGATCAAAGCCGTCGTTGATCAAGTCGTTAAATCAGTCAATACATTCTTCCACGCTGTGCCTGCAGAAGAACTATCCTTAGACTAATCTTTTTTAAATTTAAGATACATTCATTAAAAGTTACTTGTTCGGGGATTTACAATATTTTATTTTATTTTGCTTATTTGTATATTAACTTGTGACTGACGCAGAGAAACCCCGAGCATAGCCCTACAACATCCAACATCTACCGGCATAGGTGTGACATGGACGTTAAACATGATTTTTGTTTTGTCCATGTTCATCTTAAGACCTATCCGTTGGGAGACACTATTGAGGTCATTGAGCATAGTGCTTAGGTCCTCCAGCGATTCTGCCATCAGGACAATATCGTCTGCAAATTGAAGGTGAGTGATGTACTCGCCATTGATGTTAATACCGCATCCTTTCCAGTCCAGTAGCTTGAAAACGTCTTCTAATGCAGCAGTGAAGAATTTCGGGGATATAACGTCACCCTGTCTTACACCTCTCTGCAGTTGTATAGGTTTCGTACTCTGATTCTGTACTTGGATAGCCATCGTAGCTCTACTGTACAAATACTTCAGAACTTCGATATACCGACAGTCAACTTGGCACCGCTGAAGGGACTGCAGCACCGCCCAAATTTCGACGGAATCAAAGGCTTTCTCATAGTCCATGTGGCATTCCTTGGGGGAGGCCTAAGTTCAGACTTGTGAAATGCTGTAATGATGATGATGATGATGATTGTGACTAACTGTGACTTTTTTACCACCCATATACGAAAGTAAAAAAGTTATGATTTTACTTTTTGGGTAGGATCACTCTCTTACTTACAAGTATATCTGTCGCCAAATATTAGTACATGAACTGCTGTGTTCTGATCCGAAGGATATAGAAAGCTGCTGTAGATACAATCAAATACGAATCGGACACAAAAAAGACAGTAATTTTGTTTGTCACTCAAACTCAAACATCATACGCGGATTGCTTTGCGTGGTTAAATTACTAAGCGTAATGTGTTTGTGCATTTATGACCGACATTCCTTTTTAAATTGAAAGAAAAAATCCTATTTTTGCAACAAGTAATGGAGCACCTTTATTAAATAAGAAGTAGCACGTCATCAACAGCAACAAGACGAAACTTGACTTTTCGAACAATATGAACGAAATAAATAGGTAAACTATACTAAGAATAACAAAAAGAACTGCTACAAAACGTGGAATAATATAAGAATTTAAAAAAATTCTGCATTGCTGCGTTTCGATCGGAAGTGTATACAGAACCATTATTATTACAGGTTGTAAAGCATTTTTGGTTTGAAGTTGGCTGAAGGTGGACATGGACTACAGTAGCCACTTACCACTAGGACTGTAGTTTATTTGTCACTTCAAAGATACATAATTTTCACGGTAACACTCTGGCATGGTAAGCAGTATTCTGGTCGTATATCCAATTCAATTTGCTTTTTTAAATACCATTCAGCTATTCAGGTGTGACAAGATATGTGAGCGTGGTAGAATTATAAGTCAATAACTAACCGAGGAATTTTGAACTCACTGTATTACCACAGTGTCAATTTGTTCGTATTAGCTACGTGAAAGCAAATGTGATCGTAAAATCGATTTCGTATTACATCACATTTAGCTTAGACAATACGAGAGCCAATAGAGTTTTTTTGCTCAAGACAGCACGATTTACCATCTAGGGCTTTATCACTACTTACCACCAGGTGGGATTTCAGTCAAGCACAGGGTAGTAATAAATTTAAAAAAAAACCGGCCAAGTGCGAGTCGGACTTGCGCACCGAGGGTTCCGAACAAATCCGTAGGTATAGTTAGTAAGTTTAAAATTATTAAAAAAAAATTATTATATGATGTAACTAAAAATTTAAGCTTTTCGCAATTTTCCTTTTATCTGTGCTATAAAACGTTGCTTCGTACCAAAATTCAAGATTCTGAGTTCACGGGAAGTACCCTGTGGGTTTTGATTCCCTTGAGAATGTCGAAAATTTGCGCCATAAACGGCTTAATCTTTTGATTGCGTTGGCTTAGAAGTTTGATTTTCTCACAGCTGGAAGAAACAGTAGACTTGAGTATTTGATATAAATTTCAACTTAATACCTCCGCGCATTCCTGAGAAAAAGGGTCTTGACAGACGGACAGACAGATGGTCAACAAAGTGATTCTCTAAGGATTCCGTTTTTTCCTTTTGAGGTACGGAACTCTAAAAATACATAGACTTATTTCGATGTGTATACGGTGTAAAAAATTTACCCCTAGAATCGTAATATTTACATTTTATATGGCCATTCTTACATAAACATTTATTTTATTTTGTTTTAATACAAAAGTAGTATTTTATAATACTGAAGCTATTAAACACATAGTTCTCGTCACGTATTCCTGAAATCTTAATAATATAAATGTAAAATCAGTGCAAGTTGCCAGTTATGATATTTTATGGATCTGAGAGGTTGACGAAGCCTTAGGCCGTGGTGTTATTGCACGCCTCATAACGCGAAGTATTATTAGGTAGTGCACAAGCAATTTTGTGTTCTTAAAATGCTTCTATCATAACCGTATCGCACTTATACATTGATATGAGTTGTCGTATATCAAGAAAAAACGCGAATTAATCCATTTTATATTTTCAAAAAAATCATTTAAAATTGCTACTTTGAAAAAAAAAACGGTTAGAAAAAAATTTTTTCATGGATATCCGAATGTTCATTTGTATGTGGTCACGATAACTCCCGAAGAAATTGACGGATCGAAACCGAGTTTTTTTAGCTTCAAAATTACGTCAACATTATCACTTACAGGGATAATAATATCATTATTTTTTCCCTTTCGGTGACACTACCTATTTAAATAATAGAGCGCTAAATTTAAAACACGTAAATAATTTATTTTTGGAGTCAGGAATACAATATATTCCTTTCATCAAAATTAAAGGGAACGCTCATAAAGCGTGCGTTTTTGGTTTTTCAAATCTAAGCTAGTTTGGAAAATTCGACTTACTTTTAAAATATATTTATAAATATATTTTATTCACGTGTTTTAAAAGAGAACGGCGGGCTTGTATGGGAATTTCGTACAGCTAAACAAATTTGGTATTTTGGGATATTTTTTGTTTTAATCGGCAGTTAGGAGGATAGACAAGCCCTATTTAAATTCTTAGATTTTTAAAACTTGGGACGTAAAAGTTGTAACCAGTTTTATTTTTTAAGGTTATGTGCTAGTGAACTAATGTAGGTTGTTACATATATGCACATAAACATTGTTTTGGTGATAAAGTAAATGTTCTAGATTGCTTGTCGCTATCTTTGTAGTGTTTTACTTACCATTACGTAGGTAGATTGAGATGAGGATCGTACCTATTCAGCGGGGTGCATTAGGAGATACCTATATCCAGCAGCGGACTGCAACAGTTTCTCATTCAAATTCTGATGGAGTTTTGAGTGTAGGTAAATAAAACAATACTTTGTTTTTGTAAGTACATTTATTTTATTGTACTTATAATTATTCAATTCTTAATATTACTTCATCTAAGAAGGGGGCAGGTCGGGTAATACCCTCATGGCAAGCATAGCTTAGGTACCAAATAATGCTCATCACATGAGAGCAGCATCCAACTGTTTTAAACCTAAAATTCATTTACAGCAATAACTTCTGATTGCGTTCCGACCATTAATGTTTGTTTCTGCAACTATAAATACAAAATAATGTTTACCAGAAGAATGGTGGGACTTTATTTTAGCACCAAGCAACATTGGGTTTATTCCCTCTAAATCATGTATTCGCTCTAGGGATACCTCTAATGTAATATATTCCATGAGAGCGGAAACATTCACCCACATATAAACGAGCCTGGCGAATTTGACATACACCACATGCAAATAGTATTAATTCCTCCATGGATAGCCGCGGAAGAGATAGGTTTGTCGCATCTATGAGTACAAACCAGGAACGGCACATGTTTAAATTATGTTCCCTAACTAACTCGGCTATAGTGTTGGTTAAAAACAGGCACTCATATATAATTGAAACAAACTGCTCTGCATGTAAGTTTTATGTGAATGGCGGAGTTATCACATTCAGCAGAGTAGCTGCTATTTTAAAATCTGTCATAAGATTGCGAAAACCACGGCTAAAATATTCATAGCGGAACAATTTAAAGTCTCTCTTAAAACGGCCTTTCGCAGCTTCTACTACCCACCTGTTTATAGTTACACGGCGTGATCTGTTGGCTTCAAGAGTGGATAGCTGTGATTGGCCGTCTTTTTTAGTTTTAGGCACATGACCTATGTATCCTTTCTCATGCAGACTATACACGCAGTCACGGAAACCTCTATCTAGAATAAAACATAATTTTCTCTAGAAAAATCATTGAATTATGTTTCGCTTAACAAGACATTCATGATGGTCGCATCATTTGTAGTGGCCCTATATGGTGCGTGTCCTTTCGCGAAACTATTATCAAGAGATAGAGAACGGAGGAGCAGATGCTCAACTCAACGTAAAAACGGCCAGATAATTCGATAAATTGCTCAGATGCAGTCACAAAATACAATCCAAAACAACAGCAAAAAACTGAAAACTGAAGTGAACTGAAAGACCGATAATCTTTACCTGTCAATAAATAATTGCCATATGAACAAAAATATTCATGACAAACATCGTTCCTATCATAAAATCGTAAAATATTACGATTTTATGCAACAATTATACATTCTTAGGTATAATATATGTTTTTTTTTTTTTTTGGCGGGAACTTGATCAGCGGCGGTTTGCTGCTCCTGTATTATTGTTTAAATAATGGTTTGAAGTGGACTTTGATATGTAAAAGTGGTGCGATTTTGTGTATTAATTGTCTACGCATGTGAACTATTAGTGGAAACAATGAAACAAGTGCTCTGATGGTGATGGATTCTCAAGATAAGCTGTTTGTTTGCATAGGCGCCTTGAGATACCATCGCCAACTATCAGCTGTCTGCTGGCTCAAGTTGCCGTCAAAATCTCTCAAGGGCTGCACAATGTGACTCATCAACATATTGTGAGCAGTGAACTATGAAGGATAATTATTT